TGAGCACCAGAAGATATTTTTGCCATCAGAGCAATGACTTCAGTTTTTCCATTCCAACTGTGGTGAAAATGAATAAGAAAACTGGATCCTGCCTCTGCAATCAGGATACAGGCTCCACACTAATCAAAAAAGGAAGAGTCATTGTTAGACAATATTTCATTTCTCAGACTTTGAAGAATTCCTGCATTTGTCGGAGCTGCTCTGAATCATTTGTGGCTGCCGTAGGATTAGAGTGGGGATATTGTACAATTCTGAATTGTTGCAAGAAAACTTTTCATCCCTTCTAAGTGAGCTGCTCTGCTGTTCTGGTCACTGTAATCCAAATCTCATACTTTTACCTTCTTCTTTTCTAATTATTTTACCAGATAATCATTTTAAGTGGGAAAGGGAGGAGAATTTTTAAAAAGAGAGTGGGTCCTGACACACCCTTAAATGGATACAACTCTAAGTGTCAATAGAGCATTGGCACTGTAACCAGCAGAAGCAGAATGAAGTTTTTAGACACTTGTGCTTGCCAAACCAAATCTGAATGGGCAGTGGAACTGTGACCCAGTCTTGCTGAAGAGGACTGACCGCTGAATCCCCAAGTGACTGCCCTGATGCTGAGGAGAAACGGACTTCCCTGTGTCTTACCCAGTAGAGAAACCAGCGGAAATCTGCTCTGCAGTACAATCGTTCATGAACAACTACAGACAAAAATGTTGACAACCACAGGCCACAGTGCTGTGGGATTCTATTGGACATGCTGCAGAGGAAAACCACCAAGCAGCTGTCTGGAGCTGGTTACATTAACATCTGGTTAATAAAGCCTATGGCATGGAACACAGCAAATGAAAACTCAAGCTTCATCAGGAAGGCTGTAGTGCGGGCTGGGAGAGATGATGTTTTGTCCAAGTCAGTGGGTGTTCTGATATAGGTGTTCTGGGATTACACAAAGGGAGTTGGAAGCCCCATCCCGCCCTGGGGGACCATTTCCTTTCTTCTTTTGGAGAGGCCAGACTGACCTGCAGGAAACTGGCAAAAGCCTAAATAAGGAAAGCAAGAGATCGTGCAGAATGGTGGGGTGAGTCTGAGCAGGTAGAGAGTGACATGGAGATCTGTGTGCCCAAAGACCCTTGCTAGCCCAGGTCATAGCTGTTGCAGGTTGCTATCCTCCCATTATTGAATTGGTCACAGAAGATAAGGGTTGTGTAAGTAAATTTCATAAAGGCCATCTGTATACTCTTAGTTACTCCTCCTCTCATCTTACTTAACTTTGGATCTACTGTCTGTGCCCATGCACTGAAAGTGCTGAGTTTCTGAACACTCTCCCACTCAGGTGCACTTACACTCTGCACGCTCAAGCATGTTCTCATAAGCTCTCACTCTTTCTTGTTTTTGTTTTTCTCTTGCTCTCACATTCGCTGTTTTCTCTCCTTTCTCCAGCATCATTGCCAGAAGTAGGAGAAAGAATGAGAGAAATTAACCATTTTCTTCTGGCTGCCACTATCCAGTCCACAAAAACCCAAAGATGGAGTGAGGGTACCTGGGGTTCCACTCGGAGGTGGACGTAGGAGGAAATGTGAACTCGGGGATCTGCAGCTAGTGTGAACAGCGTCATCAGACCTCGTCGAAAGAGCAAAACGAAATTGAAGAAAAAGACAAAATGTAGGGCCAAGGAGATGGCTCAGTGGCATAAGCGCTTGTCTGGCAAGCACAGGGTCCGGAGTGCAGTTCCCAATGTGGGGGGAGGAGGGGGAGAAAAAAAAAGACAAAATATAGACACAAATGAAAAATTAAGTCAAAAGAGAGAAATGCTGTGTGAGAAAGGTATCTCCTTCCATCCAGACCCCACCTCACTGCAAGGCCTCACAGCAGCCCCGTGAGGTCCAGGATCCAGTCCTCAGGACCAACGAGGTGATTCATTCCAAACCGCTACGAGGGCCCGTTAAGCTCACTGGGTCTGGTTCCATCTCCATCTCCATCTCCAGGGTGAGCTGGCCGCCCCAAACTCTGATTAATTAAATCTGTGGAATGAGAAAAGAGAGGAAAGGAGGGGAGGGGAGGAGAGATGGAGCAGGAAAACAAGTTGATCGGAGGTGGGGGTGGAGGGATCAGATAGGACAGAAAGAAAATCTGAAAAGTAAAGTTAGTGATGGGTTATTATACCTGTCCCTGTCACGATCCAGGAGTATGGCTTCTGCACTTTATAGCAAGATGAGAGTCCTGTGAAAACATACTGCTGAGTTTACTGGTTTATGGAGAAGCAGGGAAAAAACCCTACACAATTTACACTGTGGTATAAATTGTGCTCATTGGTCTTTGTTTATTTCTTTGTGGCCATGACCTGTGTTTCTGTATAGCTCCTTTGTATTAAGCCAGTGCTAGAACAAAGTGAAAAAGAAGAGTGGTATTTGGGAACACTGACTACTAGTTGAATATAAATGTCTTCATGGTAAACTTTATATGCCAGCCTTCCTTGGGTCATGGAGTGCTGAGACACTTGGTCACACATTGGTGTGGATGTTCCTGTGAAGGTGTTTTTAGATGAGATTTACGCTGACTTGTTGGACTTGGAGTAAAGTATGTTGACCTTCTTCTTT